TCCTAAAGTATGTGGTATATAAAAGTTGAAAAAGAACCTAGGTCTCAATCTTAGCTGTTCCACTTACAACTTATGTGGCCTTGGGCAAGTTCCTTCACTTTACCGACCCTCATTTTCCTCATCTATAAAATTAGGTAGTTGATCAACATGAGCTTTGAGGACTCTTCCAGCTCTAAGTCCTAAAATCTTGTAAGTGTTATTCTCTTTTTTCTATCGCTCTTTGACTCACCTCTTCTCTACTGGATAAGGCCAAACCAAAGGCCATTTTCCGGAGCCCTAGGGTTTAGAGTGAGATTTGGTCAATTGTGAGGTCAGAATTAGAAGTGACAAGGCATTACTGCTTATTTTCAATCTACCCTTGTTCCATCGTCTCCACTTCATCCAAGTTAACCTACTCAAGACTTTAACAAGATCTACCAAAGGTCCTTAAGCCCTTTTATGTAGTGGTGTAAAACTTAACTAGAAATGGATCCCTGTAGGGCCACCTATTGGCGTAAGAAAACCACAGATTGTCATTATCTTCATTGTATTGCATTTTTATTTATTTTTGAACATTTACCAATTACAATTTAATCTGGTTAGTTCTGCACTGGAGAATTTTGCACAGCAAGTGGCCTCAGACTTTGAGTTTGACACCTCTGCTTTGTTGTTGTTCAGTCCTTTCAGTGGTATCTGACTCTTCATGACCCATTTTTGGGGAGTTTTCTTGGCAGAGATACTGGAGTGGTTTGCCATTTCCTGCTCTAGCTCATTTTTACAGTTGAGGAAACTGAGGAAAACAGGGTTAAGTGATTTGTTCTGGGTCACACAGCTACTAAATGTCTGAGGCCAGATTTAAACTCAGAAAGATGAGATTTCCTGACTCCAGACCCAGTGCCCTATTCACTGTGCCACCTACCTGCCCCCTTGTTGAGTCATGCCCAACTCTTCATGACCCTATTTGAGGTTTTCTTGGCAAAGATATTAGAATGGTTTGCCATTTCCTTCTCCAACTCATTTTATAGATGAGGAAACTGAGGCAAACAGAGTTAAGTGACTTGCTCAGAGTCACACAACTACTAAGTGTCTGATATGTAATCTCCCTGGTGTTGTTACTCACTCCAACAAAACAAATTCCAGCCCATCCATACTTTCTCATTCTTTGTAATTTTTGACCATGTCTACCCATAAATTTTCAACAGGGAATCTACCCAATGCACTGGAGGCCTTCCTCTAGATTGTTGTTTTGTTTTTGAGTCAGGTTGTCTTTTTAAAACCTGTTTTCATTGCCTATGGGACCGTCAATGAGAAAGCTCCTTGCACCATCACAGAATGACATTTGCTCTGCAGCTTTATAGTCTTAGAGAGTTTCCTCATGAACTTAGAGGTTGTGACTTGCCTAGAGTCATGCAACCAGTTTGAGTCAGAGTTGGGACTTTAACCCAAGGTCTTTCTGACCTTGAGACTGGCATTCTATCCATGATGCCTCTTAGATAGCCCCTATCCTGGAATAAATTAGATTTTATACTAGCCGGAAGCATACAGAAGGTTTCCTATCTAGATCATAGTGGCCTCAGACTCAAGGCTTTCTCATCACTTGTATCTTATTTCCATTGTCTTAACTACACTTCTTGTTTCTCCTTTGTCTTTCTTTGATCTCTGGTTCCTTTGTATCCTGTTTCCTAATTGTTTGCCTGGTTCTTGGTCCAATGACACTTTGGCTTAATCACTCTATGTTTTCTGAGTTGTGACTGCCCACTAGTTCTTGTAGCCCAGGGACAGCCTTCATGACTAGCTTCTGGGTATATATTGTGTGTACCAGTGGCTAGCGCCTCTCTTTCATTCTCAGCCTTCCCTTGGTTTCATCCAGTGCCCAGTGTCAGAACATGGCAAAAATGACCATGATGAGCAAGGAAGGAACCAAGTATTTATTAAGAGCTTACATTGTACTAAGAGCTTTATAAATAATTATCTCATTTAATCCTCACAACAACCTTGTCAGGTAGGTGCTATTATTATCCCTATTTTACAATTGAGACAAAGAGAGAATGTGGCTTGCCCAGGGTCACACATCTAGTAAGTGTCTTAGGCTAGATTTGGACTCAGGTCTTCCTGACTCTAATCCCAGCACTCTGTCCACTTCACTGCCAAGCTGCCCTTCAGTTCCAGGCCTACCACCCACTGGTGAAAGAGTTGAAGACCACAGAGCAAACTGGAAGCCTGACTCTTCTCTTCAAACCTGGTCTCTGCCCAGAAGTGATCATGCACCTTGGTTTCAGGTTGAGGGACAATGGTCTCTATGAAAGTGTTGCTGTTTTTTTCCATCATCATGTCTTTTTCCAGCACGGCTACCTCTTCTTTTGCCACCTAAGAAGTTTTTCTTTAACTTGCCTGGAGTTTTGCCACCCACTTATTTCAATGAGTCCTAGTGTTCTTCTAGAGTTAGAAAGGATTGAAGCTGCTTCTGAAGACCCTTCTGTCTAGAATATATTGAAGAACCAATTGCAACACTCTCCCCTTCCTCCTCCCCATCCTCTTTTGCCTTTGATATCATTAGCAGAGACAATTAATGTATAAACTAGGAACTCTGGGATCAAAGGAACAGGTAATGGAGGTTACCTAATGTTTTTGGTAAATACTGGTTAAAGTTTCTTCAGATTTATGTAAAGCCTTGACTTTCTACCATTAGCTTAGTGATTCTTTTTCTTTTGATGTATTTCCATCTAAATTGCCTTCCCCCTCCCCTTTTTTAGCAGCTCCTTATTATATTGCTGCCCCTTCCAAAGTTTTTTCTTAAGGCTCAAAGTATACAGAGATATTGCTTTAAGATAGCCCAGACATTTAACTGTAAGTTTTATAAGCCCAAATAACCGGCCCACTCAGGAAACAAACATCTCATATTGTTAAGGGAGCTTTGTGTGGCTTGGGCCCAACCCTATAACTTGAAAGGAATGCTTTTTTCCCGCTTCCAGTTTTTAGTGCCTTGCTTGACAAGAGTGTTTCAAAGCATTGCCAAAGAATTTGTTTAGGAGCAGGACTTTTACTGTATTTCCTCATTACTCTACATCTAGGCAAGAGGCCAAGCTTCAAATCATGGAGTGATTTCTGCTAAGCATCTTTTCTGTTGGAGTAAATGCAAATTGTTTTAGCTCTCTGAGTCTTTCAGGGTTGAGATGCTGTAACTTTCAAATTAAAGGCCTTGTGAATTCATAATGCTCCTCCCCCAGGGACAGACTTAGAGAATAACTCTTGGGAGTATTAGAATAAAAAATTGAAAAAGAAGTCTGACCCATGTGAGTGCTTGCACACACACACACACACACACACACACACACACACACACACACACACAGAGTTACTTTTACTCTTATCCTGCTTTGCTCTTAACTTGTTCTGTCTTTTCCTAATTTGTGCTTCTTTCTTCGACTCTGTCTCTGTACTCCTCCTCTGCCTATCCCTACATATTCCTTCCAATAGCACCTTCAGTTATCTTCAGGTTTTATTTCCATAAAATATCAAAACACATCTTTTAAAATCATCATTTTAGTTATCTGATCCACCCCCTGCTCTCTCCACAAAGAATCATTTCTGTGCCCAGCATTGAGTTTTTGACAGTGAAAATGAAGTTACCTTTGGAAAAACTAAGTGATATTGCCCCTATATTAGCGAAAAATGTATTTTATGGCTGCTTGTCTTCACTTCATCGTAACTCCCTCCCAACCCCCAAAAAAAGATGGGACAGCAAATATTGACTAACTCTGATTAAATGTAAGTCAAATATAAAAGTAATGTTTGTTTGTTTTTTAATTTTGGGGTGGAGTAAGGGGTCTGGTTCTGTGGTTTCAGTGTTTTAGGAAAATCTCAGTATAGAAATCACATACAATTGCAAATCAGGAACTAGTCTTTTTTTCATAGTTTTAGAAGAATTGCCTTGGCCACTGAGAACTAAGTGACTTGTCTACACAGCTACTTTGTGTGGGGGGATGATTTGAACCCAAGTCTCCCTGATACCATTATTAACAGATAATTAACCCAGATCTGTGTACAGTCACCTAATGTATGTCTGAAAAATATCATTAAATGACTTTGTTAGAGAAAATAAACTCATATTTTGCCTTCCAAATTAGAGAGAAAGTCCTTGCCCCATGAACCATGATTGTCTTACTGTAGCATCATGGATACCCTGTTAAGTGATTCCCTTTTGAGTGAAAATGGAAGTCTGTGAGCGCGCTTCTTTTCACATCTTCCACTGAAATCACTGTATCTTACTGGGTTCAGCTGAAAGTGAGAGAGTATAAGGCCCCTGCACTAGGTTCATGCATGCCTACCCTTCCTTTCTGAGTAGAAAACATTAATAGAATAGGAGGGATAATTATAACTTGAAATTATAAAAACACTTGTCAGTTTGTAAATAGCTTTCTTCACAACAGCCTGACCTATGTGACCTTGGCCAAGTCCTTTAACCCCCCTAGGCCTCAATTTCCTCATCTGAAAAAAGAGGTTGTACTCTCAGGCCCTTTCCAGCTCTGTGAACATACGTGAACTTATGCGTAGGTTATACAAGTATGGTAAAGTGCATAAGGACAAGAAAGGAAGAGAAACTTGAGGCCTCACTCATCCAGTTTCTTCTAGGTCCATTCTAAGGTAATGGAATCACACATGGTAACAATAGACTCCTTTAGTTTAAGGAGTACTACCTCAATCTGCATGTACTCAGGTGAAAGAGAATGTAATTTACCCAATCTGCCCTTTCCCACTAACCAAAAAATCCCAAATATTTTCCAAACAGTGCCCCAAGCCTTCCTTTCCTTTTCTCTACCTGCAGGGGAAAAGTGCATTTTCTGTGTGTGGAGGACACTGACAAATTGCCCCATCCCTGGCCTTTCACCTCTGATGATGCTCTGTAAATTTGTGCATATTAACCTTGTACAGATAGGCCAGAATATGAATAGGTTTCTGCAGTCTGCTGTGTTTGTGCCCCATGTTTTAATTTGCAACTCCTTATCGCTGGCTTATTTCAGCCATACTTTCAGAAGACAAAAACACCACTGAGCCTCCCCGAAAGACTAAAGATGCCCCATCGGTTCCAAACACTCCAGAGCCAACAACAACGCAAGAGCCTTTGGTTGGCAGCCAAAAAAGGAAAGCGAGGAAAACGAAGATCACACATCTTGTCAGGACAGCAGATGGTCGGGTGTCACCAGCAGGAGGTACTTTGGGTAAGGAGAATGAGATTTATAAGGATAAAGGGAACCGTGAGTAACCCTTGATCATAGAATGGAAGCCAATAATCATCATCAAAAATCTACCAGATTTAATAGAGTCTTTGAGGGAGTGACTCTTAAGTGAGTTCTAGATTGAGGTTTTAAAAATGAATCTGGGTGGTGTGTTTGGAGGTAGAACGTATTCTATATCAAGCCACTTGAAGAGATTACATAAGGCTTCTATAAGTCTAAGAGCAAATTTTGTTTCTATAGAGTTCTTTAGGAACTGACTCTAGTCAGATCTCTAAATTTATTTGTCATCTTATGGATTACAAAAACAGCTCTTTCTCAAGAGAGAGTGTCCGGAGTTCTCTGAGAGTTACAGGACTGTTTAGTCCTATAAGCTGTTCCTTTTTCCCACCCAGGGTCCACAAAGCCAAACTGGCTGATTTAATTTCTTCATATGTTAAAATTAAAAAGCACTTGAACATTTGTTTATGCCATGGCCCACCACTTTACTACAAGCCAGGTTTTCCAGCCCTCTGACTTTTCAGCTGCTAGAACCAAGCTGGTTCTAGGCATTGGCTTTTCCTGCTTACTCTCATCCAAAACCCTGAAGAAGTTCCAACCCATCCCTTACCAGGAATTCTCCAGGTGGGTTGTGGTTTGTCCTTCATTCTTGAAGAGGACCATGACATCAGGAAGATGATGACATGACTTGCAATTGAATTGGATTTGAGTTAGATAGGACTGTGCAAAGTCACCAGCCTCACTTTCTCCTCCAGAGTCATCTGGGTCCTGTGGCAAGATATAGATCAGGAGGAGCAGAGATGACTCTGGATGCAGTGGGAGACTTTGGACTTTTCAAACTGAGGTCTTTCTGAGTTCTCGCTTTGAGTGAGTCAACATCAGTTCAGTGAATAGGCCTGTTTAAGAAGTGAGTCAAGGGATGTCCCCTTTAATTTAAAAAAAAATAAACTTGGAGGGGAACACCCTCAGTGTCTCTGTCCAAAAGAGAAGCAATTGCTATTTACATTCACTCTGAGCCAGGAGGGCCCAAGAATAACCATTGAGTGGTGCTTGGGCAGGGACCTATTGTTGTCCAGTCGATGAGAGCCAGAAGGTATGGTCTTTAAGAAGCTGACCCAGATGTCCCACATTCTAGACCCTTGGCTATAGCAGTTTCAGAAATGTTAGTGTCTCTGGGATTTGCAACTGCCTAATATAAGCCATTGTAACCATAGTCTTGTGGCTTTTCAGCATCCAACAGAATGTCTCAACAGTGTTTTCAGGAGTCAAGATGTTTAAAACATGCTTACTATGGATAACATTTAAATGCACCACCGTTTAAGTAAAATTAAACATTAAGAGAAGTAAAGAGTTTATTAAATTAGTTTTAGACCAGTGTTATCACTTGAAGGATGGCAAAATGAGGAACTTCAATGACTTTTTCTTATATATTATATGTGTATTGTGCTGAGTTTTCTTTCATTTAGAACTTTTCACATTGCAGGATATGGCAAAGATTTACGTTCACTTTTTAAAACTGAAAGTCCTTAGATGATACTTCTATTTTTAATGCAGTAAGACATCATGGAATTTTTATGTTCTAATACTAGACACTTTAAGGCCATTACTATTTGCTCCTTTATTTAAAATTTCCTTCAAAACTATGATAAAAATAAAGAAAACATGGTAGAATGAAAAAATTATTCGTTTTCCAATAGAGATATTAGAGTTGCATTTCAACCAGGTGTTTTTTGTCTTATTTTTATTGATTTTTTAATCTTAGACCACGCTTGCTTTCAAATGTGTGTCTCCTCCTTTCCCATCAAGTCATCTCTTGTAACAGAACTTTAAAAAGAAACAAAGTAGTTCATGAAACAAACTAGCACATCAACCATGCCTGATAGTATATGCAATAATTCCATTCCCCAAGTCCCCCAACTCTGCAAAGACAGGAAGTAGGTTTATCAACTCTTAATAGGTACTTTGTACCTGATCTCCTAAGTACTGCGTAACTAGAAGCCCTTTACCTTCACTCGGAAGTGATGTCATTAGGCAAAGAAACATCAGATCCTCAAAAATGAGAGAAAGAACTCAGAGTATTGGAATGAATAAATACAGTGATCAATTTAATTAATTAAAAGCAATTCAGGGAGGATACAATCATTCGTAACCAATGCAGACTTAGCATCCAGATTTCATCAAAGGCATTTGTATTCTCTGGGCATCTAAGTGTCCCTCCGCAGAAGTTTCCTCAAGCTGTATTTTAACTCAGGTTTCTTTCCCTCTTCTAATCCAATCCTGACCCATTCTGTGGCCTTGGATCAATCTCTTAAACTCTTTTCAACTCTGCTTCTGAGAATAATGCTGCCCATGGGAATAACTGGGCTTAATAAAGGAGCCTTGTTGTTCTGCAAGAAGAGGATCTGTATAAGCCATTATATTCTCAGTCTATATCAAGGGGAATTGGGAAGGAATGTTACCTTCTTAAACAGTGAGTGCCCTGGAATCTTCTCTGCCTTTTGTCTACAAGCTGGTTGGCCTAAATCCTCTCTCTTTTGATAAATTTTTCTTTTGTTACAGATGACAAACCCAAGGAACAACTGCAGGGTAGTCTACCTAAAACATCAGCTGCAGACACAGATTGCAATGAGGAATGCTCACAAAACATCGAGGCAGAGGAGATTCGTAGTATCACATCAGACATGCCAGCTGTGTCTGCTTTCTTCAGCCTGGCTGCCCTGGCTGAGGTAGCAGCAATGGAGAATGTGCACAGGTGAGCCGGGTGGGAAGCCTCCTTCTCTTTTGCCTGCCCCCTTCTTTGGCAGAATGGATTCAAAGAAAGCAACGTCCGAGTGTAGACGAGCCTCTTTTCACTGCCTAGTAGGTCTCCTAGAACTTAGTTTTAGATTTATGCTGTACTTGGCATATTGTATGCCTATACAAGCTAATTAGTTACATGGAAAACAGATAGATGAAGGAATTAGCCAAGCAAGTACACTATTATTAGTATATGCATTGTTATATTATACTAGATTATATTGCTATATATTAAAGTCACATATTATAATAATGGCAGTTATATAATGAATAATGTATAATAATATAGTATATATTAATGTAATATAGAAAGCATAATATAGTATTATCTATAATGTTACATGACATTATATATTAAACATAATAAAATAAATATATAATTAAGGAAGGCCTCTGCTGTCTGAGGTTGTCAGCATTCAGGACAAACTGAAGTTAAAACCACAATAGCGGCTTTCTTTCTCTTTTCTCAAGTAGTTGTCCATTATATACCGTTAATGTATTGTTATATATTACATTTAATATATAATTATTATATATTGTTATATGTTATAAGATATTATCAATAAGTATATTATGTATTATATTCAATATACAATGTTATATATGTTATATAAGATTATATTATGTATGTTACATGTATATACCTACCCTGTGTGATATTTCTTATATAGTATATATTGTCATAATATTTAATGTATTTTATTATAATTACTTTACATGTTATTATATTATGATATAACTAAATAATATTATATGTAATGTTATTATGTATAATATATTAGTGCTAGTATACTTGCTTGGCTAATGTCCTCTTCAATAAGTTTTTCCAGGTTACTAATTAGTTTGCATGTGCGTACAATATAATATAATAACAACATTACATGTCATGTATAATATTGTGTTATTATAATACATAATATATATAAATATCTAACATTAGCATATTATTAATAGTGTTACTATTATTTCTTTGTTCTACTAGTGAACCTTACACTGCAAAATAAATTATAAGGAGAGAGTTTTAGTCCGGGAAAAGAGCACTGACTCAAGTGTCAGGGAACCCACATTTCACTTAATGTTGTGCTACCAATTTACCACGTATAGCAGTTTAATTATTCATCACTTCAGTTTCTTCATCTTTATTCTTGTGAACATCAAATGAAATAAAAGAGTTATTCAGCAACACCCAGCATTTAAAAAGCACCTACTAGATGCAACTCAGAGATCTGAGTACATAGAGCCCTTTTAAAGCACTTTTCAAATAACAAGGTATTGTTTTAAATGCATGTAGAGAGCTTTCTTTTTAAGAAATCCAATGGTGAGTCCTTTTGTAAAGTGAATAGACATTTTTACTGTCTTTTCTAAATTACTTTTTCCTAATTTTTTTTCCTTAAAAATGGGGTAAGGAGGAGCAGCTTGGTGGTACAGTGGATAGAGCACCAGCCCTGGAGTCAGGAGGACCTGAGTTCAAATGTGGCCTCAGACGCATGATACTTCCTAGCTGTGTGACTCTTGGCAAGTCACTTAACCCCAATTGCCTCACTAAAAAAAAAAAAAAAAAAAGTGGGGTAAGGCATCTGCTGTCAGATGTCAGCATTTAGGACAAACTGAAATTAAAACCAGTATACAGGCTTTCTTTCTCTCTTCTCAATTAGCATATTGTAGTATCTATACTTATGTCATAAATAGCTCGTAGAATTCAAAATTAGAAGAAATCTTAGAGATTATGCAGTCTCTAAATGGTTTATTTTATAGATGTGGAAACTGAGGCCCAGAAAAGTGAGGCAGCTTGTCTGAGGTTATACAGAAAGTTGTTGGCAGTACAGAGACTTGAGCCCAGGTCTTCAAATTGGAAAATCAGATTACTTTGAATTACTTCAAATTATAGAATACCATGTAGGGTAAGTCTGTAGCATAATAGATAGAGCACTGGGCCTGGAGTCAAGAAGACTCATGTTCATGAGTTCAAGTCCAGCCTCAGACACTTACTAGCTGTGTGACCCTGGGCAAGTCACTTAATGCTGTTTACCTCAATTTCCTCATCTGTAAAATGAACTGGAGAAGGAAATGGCAAACCATTCCAGTGGTTTTGCCAAGAAAACCCCATGTGGCATCTGAAGAGTTGGACATAACTGAAACGACTCAACAACATGTTGTCTCCTCAGGTTTTAAGTTATCACAATTTTCAGGAAGCCAAATATCTTATAATTTGCACAAGTGCAACTAAAAGTTGCTTTTAGTAAGCAAACTCTGAGAGATATTTTTTAGCTATTGTCCAATCGACAATATTTACACTTGTGAAAACACTATCCTGGGCACTCGGGCTTGAAAAGAAGTTTTAAAAAATGGGACAACTAAAATAAGTCCTGCTGGGATGTATCATTGTGGTATGGAGGTGGAGGGGTCTGATATGCTGGGGTCCCATGAACAGACTGGGTCTGCTTTCTGAGAAACATCCTTGCCTCTTTAAGTATAGAGATGCTCATTGTCAATAGGCTGGATACCTGGTGATAAATTCTTTGGCTATGGCAGCCCATTAAAAAAATACGAAATAGATCTAATACCTTTGCAGCCCCCTTCAGCTTCTGCAATGAAAGTGACAGAATGCTCTCCCCCCCCAATGCCATTAAAGAATCACATAGTTTTTAGACCATCTGTGAACATTAACTTAGCTATCAGTACTCTAAATGTGAGGTACTTATCCAATGACCAATTAGTGGATATGCTACTGAAAAACTGAATGACATCCATTTTAAATTCTTACCATAAATGAAAACAGAAGACAGAAGGAAGTCACAGCTAAGTAGAAGGATAGTCCACTGGTTCTTCTTGGAGGTGGAGATAAAGGAGTTGGCAGAAATGGTTTTATTGTGTGTCCAAAGACAACAAGAAATATCATTTCACAGGTGATTGGACCATTTCACCCTGCAGGATCATGATCAAGATTTGCAAAAAGGCCACCAAGATAATCCTAAGAGTGTATGTGGCAACATCTGTTCCAGAAAATGAAGAGGTAGAGCAGGTTTACTAAAAACAATGAGAACATCCAATTTAAATCAGTTTTATAATTTAAAGCTCAGTGACTTAAATGCAAAAGTGAATATAGGTGAGGACAATGGAAAATACTGTACAGCAGTAAGAAATAATAATTAAAAAAACACATTGAGACTATCCATAAGCCTCACTCTTATGTGTCATGAGTGCTGTCTTTAAGAAAAGAATCCAGAGGCACCGGACATGATGAATATTGAATAAAAGCACACACACACAAAAAAAAAATGAGATTGATTATATTTTGCAGGGAAAAAATGGCTTATTGCTGCTATGGGAATAGTTCATTAATCAACTATCTGTGCACTGACACAAAGATCAAATGAATGCAAAGCTATAAAAAAGAATAAAAGTGGGGAAAAGGGACAATTAAATAGATTCTGATCTGACCTATTAAAGCAAGTTAATAATACTGAAAAATGGGAAATAGATGAATGAAAGGACATCAACACTAAATATAGTGATTTCCTCCACAGGTTTAACCACTATCAGTTAGTTACCCCGATCAGCAGCCCAAAAGAATTATCTGAGTCAGTAAATATTTGCCAAGGGAAGAAGTGTGGCAGCCAAGGGTAACGTTAATTTATAATAAATAGTATTTTCTAAAAATCATACAGAGACAGATGCTGAATCGGTCAAGCATTTATTGAGAGCCTGCTGTATACAAAGCAGTGTGCTAGCTACTAAGGATGCAGACACAGAACAGAACAGTCCTTGCCCTCAAGGAGCTTACACACTGCCGGTCAGAAAGGTGCAGAATGTTCATGGATAAGCAAATAGAAGACATACACAAAACAAATAAAAAGAGATCCTCAGAGGAGGAAGGCACCAAGGAATGAATGAGTTCAAGAAAGGTTTCTGAAAAGAAAAGTCCTTGAATAAAGCCTTGAAGGGTACTAAGAATTCTAAGATATAGAAGTGAGTGAGGAGGGAAAGCTTTCTAGCCATAGCAGATGACAGCCTGTGCAAAGACACACAGAGATGGCAGAACAGCAACGAGGCCATTTTGGCTAGAAAACAGAGCATGTGAGGGGGAGTAATGTGTAGTCAGCCTGGAAAGTTAGGCTGATGCCAGATTGTGAAAGGCTTTAAATGCCAAACAGAGAATTTGTATTTTATTCTAGCTTATGAGTAGTGGTATCTTATAAAAGAGTAAGCAACCATGAAGGAAAATTTTTTGAAAAAGAATTTAAAAGCTCAACAAGGGACCAAATCAACCAATCAGTAAATATTTATTAAGTATCTACTATGTTCCAGGCACCATGCTAAGCTCTGGCATCTAGGCAAAGTCATCCTGGGGCCCTTTAAGGATGAAACAGAAAGGAAGACAACAAGGAGATAAAGAATAGAGAAAATCTATAAGATTTTTACAGTGAATTCTGTGATCAACATGAACACTCTACATTTGGGCTCTAATATTACAGTCTCTAACAAACTTTAAAAGGAAGTAGAAATGGCACTGAAGATAAAGATGGGAAAAGCCCATCCTTATAATACCAATTTTCTTCCAATGATATTTTATGGTTGTGAGTCATGGGACAGTAATATTGCCAAAGAATTGAAATTGGGTATCACCTAATGAACAATGGAGAATGTATAATGAAGGTGTGCAGGGTGCAACACATTATAAACAAGGAATTATAAAGGAAAAACAGAGTAAAAGATCTATTGAAGAAATATACAAGCCAAAAGGAAGATGGTTGGTAACATGGCAAGAGCAAAGGAAGGAGAACCCTTGTGCTGAATTGGTATTCTCATAATGTTGGGAAAATTCAAGGAAGGCCTTCAGCACATTGTGTAATCCCTTTAGGGTGAACATATGGGAGGGTGCCAATGAAAGGATGGGTTTCACTCTACATGACTGAAGGAAATATATGCTTCTGCGCAATTACAGATCCACTGGATTATATGAGCACAGGATTTCTGTTTGTAAAGAAGTTTATAGTCCAATTGGGGAGGCAAAACATATAGACATAAAAAAGATAACTGATTATTTGGTGAATCAATGGTAAATAATTAGTCATATCATATATTTATATGTAATATCCATGTTTATAATTGACTCATAAACAATAACAGAAAAGATTCTTTTTTTTTTTCTCTTTTTTTTTTGGTGAGGCAGTTGGGCAGTGACTTGCCCAGAGTCACACAGCTAGTAAGTGTTATGTGTCTGAGACAAGATTTGAACCCAGGCCCTCCAGGGCCAGTGCTCAATCTACTGCGCCACCTAGCTGCCCCTCAGAACAAGATTCTTTAAGCCCCTGGTGGAATGAAAATTTTAAAACTCAGTAATACTAGAGCTCAGAAAAAGGTTAGATTTAGGTACGCTAGAGTAGGTATAGGGAAGACTTCAAAAAAAGAAGCAGTACCTTGGATAGATTTTGAAGGACAGTTAGAATTCACACAGGGAAAGGAAAGGGGGAAAAGCATGAGTAAAGGTCTAATTTTTCCTAGATTAATGTTACTTAAATTCTTCGTCAACATCACATGATTTGTGACTTACCTCAGAGACATCAAACTGTGAAATATTTAATCACCATCATGTGTCCCCTTTCTTGAAAACAGTTCTGCCACTGTTCTTTGGATTATGGGTTTAACATTATTTTATGGGATGAGAGTGTGGAATATCACTGACTTAATGAACATTGATTAAGATTCATTGTGTTCATGATAGTAGTAAACAAAGCACTGGTTAATCACTATGCACAGTTAAGTGGAAAAAACAAAAACAAAAACAAAAAAGCCCCCACCCTCATGACACCTAGGATAGATGTAGGAGTCTAGCATAGTAAAGCAGTTTTACCTATGGGGAGGATAAATGAGTATGAATTAATTTATAAGAGGCCATGTAGAGCCTTGGCTGGCTTTTCCTTTCCCTTTTCTTATCTTTTTCTCTTTCCCCTTTTCTGCTTAACCCTGAATTCAGTGCAAATGAGGCATGTTTATCTTGATTCAGAAACTATCAAGCTTTTCTAACAATGACCTCTTCCACAATTTATCATCTGTTTTTCTTTTCTCTTATTTTTCCTTCATTGTGTTCCTCCTCAATGTTTGTTCATGTTATTTCCCTCATTTCCTCTTTGACACATCAAGGAGAATGAATTTGTGTAGAGCATTAAATTAGAAATAAGTAAAAGCCATCTTGGTTTTCCTTTCCCATTAAAATTATGTTTTTTCATAACAGATAGTTGAACAGATGTAGCAGGTTGCACTTAAAACATGCACACTTTATTAAACAGATTAAACCAGAAGTTTGGCTCTTACACATTTTTATAGAGTGTGTGTGTGTTTAAATCCATAATTCTTAAATTGGTTCAATGAGCTTCACCAGAGTTCAGGAAACCTAGATCTTTGTCATATATACCATGTATCCATTTTACCCAGTACACCAAAAGAAACTAGTTAAAACCTAATAATAAACAAATGTGAATCGTTATATGCCTTAACTGGTTTCATCCTTTGGATAACAACTGCGGAAAACACGAGTACTGTTTCATGTAACCGGATTCAGATGAGGACTTGGTAGATGTTATTCAGGACAGAGAAACAGGCACATTCTTTGCTACGTGTGCTTGTTTTAAAATATCCAGAAGGTCCCAAATTCCATCATTTGTGAATGAAAAACTCAATAGGAATTGTTAAGATTTTGATGATTTGTTTTGTCAACTCTTCATTGAAGGAGTTTTCTTTTCCCCTTTTCCTTTAATTATACAAATGATAAATGGAAAATCAGTTGGATACTATGTCAGTTTTTCTCTAAATGACTAAAAATTTCAAAAAATTTTAAACTAGTTTTGACCAGAGCTCTCATAGACCCATTGGATTGGTTCCTAATTGTGGCCCTAAGAGAATGATTGGTAATGATTGCTCATAATGAAAAAGTGATGTCAATATCCACCTCCTTTCCTCCTCTTTCTAGTTTCCATAACCTTTTTTTAAATAGGTTTTAAAATTTTTCTTTGATTTAAGATTTAGAGTAGAAGGACCCTTAGGAATTTTCTGATCCAGCTACCTCATTTTACCAATGAGGAAACTGAGGCCCAGAGGATTGAAATTACCTCCCCAAGTTCATACATAACTAGTAAGCCCCAGAGCTATGATTCAAACCTAGTTTTGCTGACACTAATCTGACACTAATTAGATCATCTGACAATAATCTAATCATTTAGATTATTGCATAGCAGCTTTTTCTATGTGTATCTTCTTTGATAGACACTAAGTCAAGACACTACCTTTATGTATAACCTTATACATATACATTTTACATCTCTCACAGATACACTCAACTGGGTTGGGGTTGGTATGCACAGCCTAAATTGGTACTGAAGATCTCAGAACTCAGAGAATCAATATAGTCCAGTATCTAGATCTCTTGACTAGCAGTCAAGAGTCCAAGTCTGGCTCCATTTCCTCTGTCTGATTCTCACTTTAGGTGAGACTTTGAATCTCCTGGTGCCTAAATTTCCCCATCTTTAAAATAAGGAGAATAAGTTGGGGTCAGATTTCATCTCATAGAGAATCAGAGTTTTAAAAATCCTTTGAAAGTGAGAGACAATTTAAAATGACAACAGTTTTAACTAAGCAACACACCAAAATAGCAGCATCTGTTCAGCAAAATACTGAAAAGCCTTTGTCATTTGTTCTAGTCTCTAAGAACTGTCCCTGAATCATAGGATCTTGGAACTGGAAAGATTCTAAGAGATGATTCATTTCTTCTTTTTTCTTGTTCTCATTTTACAGAAGTCAGCGGGCAGCTCCCCTTGCCCACGATGGACAGCCAAAAGAAATGCCACAGGCTCCTGTACTTATTTCCTGCGCTGACCAGTGAAGCTCCCCTTTATTGTAAAACATTGTGCTTTACCTAATATCCTAGCCTTGTCTTTACCAAGGGAAGCTAGTCAGTCGATAGGATGGAAAATATAGATTGCAAACACGTGATTGGTGCCCTGCACGGCCCAGATTTCACTTGAAGCCAGAAGTTAGCAACTTGGGCCAGGTCGTCCTATTGGAACCCAGAATCTTTGAGGGGGATGTTATTTGTCTGATAATGAACAGAATGAGAATGATCCTGGAGCTTTGCTTTCTATTGAAGGCTTTTAATGGTAAATTGGTGGTTACTTGGAAGTGGCTGCCTTTACTGTAGCTCATCCAGTGTCTCTTTTACCAACCAGAGAGTGTGAAACTAGTTTCGTATAATACCTAGTTATTCTTTAAAAAAAAAAAAAAAAAAAAAAAACAACAAAAAAAAAACAAACTGACGCACTGCACTAGTTATTATTAGATATTCCTAGTCATTTTTGTACATGAAGATTTAAGTTCTAAGATGGTTTATATAATAGGTTATGCCTACATTTATATTGTAGAATAAATTAAAAAACCTGTTCCAGAGAACCCCAAACAGCATGGGCAGATGTACCATTGTTAGCGGTGTATGCTCAGCCACGTGGTCCATATATTCTGCACTTTTATATTTGCCACCAGAGTGGTAGTTTGCTGGCAAAAAAGAAAAAAAAAAGTCTGACTTTATTTATAGGCTGAGTCTTTTCTAAGGCTTGAATGATCAAGAAGAATTTGTGTAGGGTAAGTTGTAGTAAATATTTACCCAGATGGAGGAAAAGTCCTGCAGATTACTGATGGTTATCATGCCTTGAGGATTCTTTTATTTTTTACATAGGGGTCTAAGTGACCAGTGGAACATTGATATAAACAAACAAAATGAAACAAACAAAAAAAAAAAAGGACAGAAAAATTGTTCAGAAGTGACCTTAGAATTACTTCACTATTCTGAAAACATTGAAGACATTGAATTCATGTGGACTCTGAGACACATACCTTTTATATCTCTCACAGACACACTGGACTGGGTTGCGATTGCTATGCACAGCCTAAATTGGCACTGCAGGTTTTTTTTTTTAGAGCCATTTAGAGTTTGTGTTGGTTAAGAGGTATGTGAGTAAATGATGATGAGAAGTATGCTTGACCCGAGTGGGGCTATCAAATCTAGATCCACCTGCCAGTTCCCATTTCTTTTTGTGTTTTGTTGCTTTTGAACATTAAACCATAGATAGGCCAGTACCAAGTGGATCAGCTGGCTTAGAACATTCAACATATTGACTTAACCACCTGACTTTCACAGTGACTTGTTTCCTAGCAACAGATGCAAAGTGATAAATCAAAATTAGTCTGAGGCTACAAATTCTACAGGGTATTTGTTCGATAGCACAAAGTATTTCCCTACTCTTGCATCACAGCACAAAAAAAAAAAAAGAAAAGAAAAGAAAAATACCAAATTTTAAGTATTGGACTCCAGCAATAATTTTTTTTTATTGGTCTTCATACTGGCTGAATTTTGATAGTGTTAGGTCGATTTTGAAGCTCTTGAATTAGGTCTCTAAAAGATGAGAGTTTACATGGTTTTATCAGGCCTTCTTATTTATACTTGACTGAATTGATAATGATGATTTTTTTGTAATTGTAATTTGATGTAATAGCCATACAAAAAAAAAGTAACTCTTAATACAGACTAGGTTTAGCTTTTCATGGTTGTAGATATGACTTCAGTTTCAGTGCTGGAAAATATGTACAACATACCATACAGGAATGAAAAAATGGAGATCTTTTTTTGTTAAAAAAAGCAACTGCTAAAGAGAGCAATGAAGACGAAAGGCATTTGGAATGATGTCCTCAAAAATACATACTCTTTGTGGAGTTGGAGGAAGAAGGATTAGAAAAAAAGGTTAATCCAAGGTGAAAGCTTAATCCCAATCAGGTAGCACTAAACCTAGTAAAAAGTCCCAACAAATACATCGTACCTTAGGTTTTTACTATGAACCTGTTTTATTAATGTTTTCTAAATTTTAAAAAGTGAATGTTTGAAAATTGCTGGGTCCCAGTGAGGTGGCTGTTGGAGTCTTTGGACCACTTGCTAGTAGCGATTTAGAAATTAAGATTAGCTAAAAACCCAAAAATCGTACGGTGCGGACCATGCACCTTGACAATGGTACTAACTTGTTATTCTGTAGAACATGTTAGAATAGGTCTATTTTTGCCAGAGCCTTCTCCAATCTTCCTCCAATTACATTTCACTAGTGTTCCTTAAGAGATTGCTGTATATTAATGGGACCTTTTTTTAAAAAAACAAAAAACAAAAAGAAACGAAAGGATTACTTTTTTCTATGTGAATTAATATCTTACTTGATCTGCTTTTTCCTAAACCTCAGTGGCTTTTCCCTTAGGTGGGGCAGGGTGGGTGGGGAGAACTTACTGGATATGACTGTTTTCAGAGACTTATAAAACCTTTTTTTGTAGAAATGCTTAATTTTTAAGCAGTTAGGCACTGAGAGCAGCAGAAATCCTGCAAAGCTTTATAGTTCTCTAGGCCCCTGCCTTGTTGTTTCTCTAAGTGAAGTCTTGATTTCGATAGCTAGAACTGCTCATGCCCTGAATCTGCTACAGAGGGGTGTTGATATTTTTCAGGTAACACAGTTTGTTAGCACAAATATTTCAGACCAACATTTAATGTTTTCTTTTCTTCCAGTTATTTTAATAGCATTCTTTCCTTTTTTTTTTTTTGTAAGTCATATTGCTATGGTGTGTACTTTAGTATGCCAGCAAACACTGTCCCACAAGCCTCCTTGAGAAAAAAAAATGTTGCACCTTATGTATATCTCAAGCAAACCAAAATATGATGCTCTTCTGCTTTGTTTTTATTCTAAATATGTTGTATCATATCTTTCTGAAACCATTCTGAATTGAGTTGAAATTATCAATATTTATGCATTTAACCTTAATTTCTGGATTCAAACCTGTATATAAATCTTTTGAAAAAAATTGTCCTAGCCCTTCTCTGTGATGCTGGATATGGGGGATTTCGTCTCAAAGGGAGATGTAATACTGTTCCAGTTTTCTTTGGCTTTTATTTATTTAGTTATTCTGGGTATTTCCAATGTAATTTTGAGGTATGTAAAGTGTATTATAGTAGCTGAAGCTACACCTACAAGAAGCTGCGTGAAAAATTACTGTAAGGCATCTTTCAAGTTTTAATTATTTGAGTACTGTATATGAGGTTGAAAAAAAAAAGAAAAAAAAAGTTCCATAGAAACATTTTGAGATACAGGTTCCGATCCCCAAATTAGGTTATTTTTCAGATTTGAGACCAAAACTGTTAATTCATTAAAAACCTTCTTAAGGTTAAATCATGCTGTTGTAATCCTGTGACAGTCTTTATTCTCATGAATGTGCTATAACTTCAGAAATGGAATGTCTTTATTTAATGAGACTGGATGAGTTTTTCAACTAATGCCATGTTCCAAAGCCATGCTAAAATAATTCGATTAGTTATGAAGTCCCAAATCATCAACTCATAGTTCCAGTTCACACTTTTAAAATTGACAAGAAACACCATATTTCTAATGAAAAGAAGTATATGAGCTGATCTGATATCAGGAAACAAACTTTTTTGATCACCTCTTTTTTTTTCCCCCTTGTTCAAGAAAATAGTACCCTCCCTGAGTAGCGTAGACTTATCTTTGCACTCTGCAGTCTTTGGCCCACTGTATTGAAATTTTGTACCCATGAAAAATCTCAGAAGAGTTATAAGCTGCACCAGAAACAATTGCAAGCAGGAAACTGAATGAAGAATACCATGTTTGTTTATGGGGAAAGGAGTAAAATGGAAGTGCATCTGTTAAAAGTTCGATATTAATGTGAAGCACTTGCTTGCCTATTCAACTACTGTATGCATCTTAAATGTGCAGAGTTATGGAATATGTGGGCTTGAGGCAGGCTGATATACTAAGAAAGAGGACTACCATTTTATTTTGGGCAAGATGAGGGAAAAGATGTGAGGTCCGTTTTCCCCCCTTGCAAAGAGAAAACAGGGTTTGTATGACACCAATGTGGGTTAATATTTGATTGTACTCTATATGGAGTGGTCATTATAAGACCAATTTTGATAGGCTACCTCTGCTTTAAAGGATAGTTTTATTGCTTCCTGTTTGTTTTAAAAACCACACCATCTGATACTTTTTGCCCCTCAGTGCCACATTCACACCCTCAGTGTTTAAAATTCCAGTAACCATCTCATACAGAGAGGACAGTGTATTGTTAAAAATGGGCAGTGGTAGCACTGTAGTTATTGCTGTTTCATTTGACCTATAAAGTATTCTTGTTGGCTGCTTGATGGAATCTAAAATTGAGCTGTTAATTTGCTCTGAGAGAGATTGCCTGGCACCCTTTGAAAACTAATGTTCTTAAGGGGTTCTTTTTCTCTATATGAACATTCCCAAAGAATCATTGTGTTTATTTGTTTTGTTTTGGGCTTTAGATATTTTTAATATCCTGAGTTAGACTGACTAATACCGTACTTTATTGGAAAGAAGCAGTTGGTCGGTTCATCTATCATCAGATGTGTGCAGTAGACTATTGAATGGACTGCTTTGCTTTAGTCTTAAAGTCACTGTTAATGTTGTCACACTGTAAATCAAGTCATCATGCTTGCCCTTTGCATGGGAGATGTTATCTTCTACATATTTCAAGATATTTCAGGACAAAGAAGCTGCAAGCAGATGAATGAAATTCAGTTGCAAGAGAGAAATCATTCTTGTTTTTCTCTCTCACCATCCTTTCCATCATTCCTCCTACTTTTTCCTATACACATCCAAATGAGGATTCCTCTTTTGGCTAAATAGCATTTGGTATTAGAGAAACCATAATGATTGCAGAAAGGTAAATCCTACACTTAAATTTTTTGACTCTTATTTTCCTTTTTTTTTTTTTCCCAGTCAGTGGTCAGAATTTACTTTAATCCCAGATTGGGTTATATAACAGTACTAATGGGCATATGAACATTGTTAAATTCTTCCAAAGACTTCTTGGTCCAAAGTATGTTACTTGGTACCAAGTACCTAAGTCATTACCTTTTCCCCTTGAAATGCAAATCTTACCTCATAACCTCTAAACTAAATTACTTAAGTCAATGTATTTTACGAAGTAACACACTAACCCTACCTTGTGGCCCACAAAAGGGTGACAAACTTTTTCCCCTCACTGATGCACTCATGTTCATTAGTGCCACACACTGGCTCTGGAAGCTACTGAACTGTGGATATAATGGTGTTGACCAGAGAGCTCAAAGAAATTTCACATTTCAGTAGCGTTTAGCAAGTCTCTTACACTCAGAAATTTAAATGTAGGAAACAGCAACAATAATAACCTGAGATTCTATACACCTGATTCTGAACTTTGATTATAGGTTTAAATCAATTAAACATCACAAACTAGGCACAGCTTCATCTGACCACCAGATCTTAAGTCTGTTGACAGTTTCAGCATGACAGAATCGCTCATTTTTTTTTTTTTTGCTTTCAGAAATTGGCTTGGTTCTCTTTAGATTTGATGTAAACATACCATGTAATAAATGATTTCCATTAATGGTACAACAGAATTATTGCTTTCTTAGATGTGTGTGTAGTAAAAGTCAATATACACATTTATATAATTTTTTCTTCAAAATCTTATACCTAATTTGACATTTCTAAAAGGTGCACATGTCAAGTCATGTGTATAACATGCTAAACTACTTTAACTGTGATCTTGAAACTGAATAAAAAATATTTAATAAAAATTTTAAATATTTTAAAGAAAACAATTCAAATAGATTTCTTTATGCTTACATTATCAGCTGTAGAGTATTGCTTTGAAAAAAATGTATCCTTTCAAAATAGGCAAAAAAAAAACTTAAATAAAATATCCACATTATGTTCATTTAAAAAAAATCAAATGGCATTTTCATTGTATAAATACATCTTTCCCAGCTTTATTGTTGTGTTAATGGTTCTGAACATGTCTCCATCACAAATTTTTAAAAGAAATACCTGTGCTCGGACTTATTGGAGAGAGGTCAACAGAAGGAGGTTTTATTCCTTGAGAATATTGACTCAGGAGACAGAGGGTCTTGGTTCAAATTCTGCTTCTGACTCCTGTTACTTGTATGAGCTTGGGCAAAGAGGTTAAATTAGATAACCTTTGTAAAACCTTCAAACTCAAGACCTAGATCCCTTTGCGACTCAGGGAATTGGGAAAGATATGATACATTCTTAGCACAAAATAGGCTGGAATGTGTCATCTTTCTTTGAAATAACATAATCAACATTTGCAAATAGAATTTTTTAAATGACCATCTAAAGCCCAGATTGGACTCCAAATACTTGAATGAGATTTCCTTGTTAGGTACATTTTCTCTCTGGACAGAGCTATGTATGGTTTACCACATCCTGCAATCTTCAAACTTGACATTTCTTTCGTGAAGATGTTGATGTTTCTACATTTTTTACTACCTAACTGATTCACCTAGAACTTCACCATAGGCTCTTGAATAAACTGGTCCAGTAAGTTTGACATATGGAAAACAAAGAATGGTTTAAATTCATGTCCATTAAGTTCACATCTCTTATGGATAACATGGACAATAAGATTTGTTAATACAATTAGCCAAAATAATAATATATATCGAGAGGCAGCAGAAGTTTTAAGACTGGGCAAAAGGGCTGTACTTATATAATAATAGGAGTTCCCTATACCAATGAAATCACAAGTTCAGACCAAAATTGTTTAAGTGCTGGATATTGGGGATACCAAGACAAATTGCTTCCTCAGCTTACATTCTCCTGGATGATTTTAAGATAAGTCATATATGAATACTCAGCTAAAAGGAATGGTACTGATGCCATCATTCCATTTACCAAAAACAATGCTTATAGGGAAAGGGTGTTTTATGTAACTTACCTTCCTATAATTTGTAAATATGCATCAAGTATTTACTGAAAACACAATTGGGTGTCTTTGTCCTTACACACTTCAGTGCCCATGTAATTCGCAAATGTAGCAATAAAGAAGCTATTATGTATGAGAGTGCTGGAGTGAAGATCATGAGTATCAGAATGCAAATTTTTGTGTTGTGTTTTCAAATTGACCTTTGTAAATGTCTTTCTTTCTTGAGCTACTTTCACTTGCTGAATTCTCTTTCTTTTAATTATTCTGTTGCTTTTTCCCCCTCAAGTATTTTTGTCCAATGGTTACAAAGCCTAAAAAGTGACTTTATAGTCTTTAAAAAAATTTTTGTTGTGACACCAGTAAATCCTTTCCTCCTTCA